AAAAAAAAAAAAACGGTGGGGGGAGGGGCACAGATGATTCAAAATAAACAGAGAAGAATAAATGGAAATAATATGTAACTCAGAGGGGAGTCAAACTCACATGTTCTAATATCCTTGGCATTGTCCAAGAAAGGCAGAATTAAAAATAAGAATTTGGTAAGTCAAGGATGTGCTAAAAGTTTTAATTCCTAGGATAACCACTAAGAACACAGAAAAAGAGTGAAAAGCCCCAAACAGATACACAAGGAAAATGGAATGATAAAAATGATTCTACTCATCAAATAGAAAGTGGCAGAGGGAGAGAGGGAATGCAGAACAAACAGAAAAATATATCTAAGTGGCAAATTTAAAACCAAGAAGATTAAAGGACCCAGTTAAAGATAAAGCTTGTCAGATTAATTTCCACAAAACTACATACGCTGCTAATAACTGAATGTAAGTAAAAGTGTACAGTCAGAATAAGCAAGATAAGACAAAGGAGTGTGTAAACAAAGTATTTCTCCAGCGTGGAAAGGGCCATTTGAAAATTAATATCCCACTCTAGATCTGTATGCACCAAAAATACAGTTTCTAAACCCATAAAGCAAAAATTGACAAGATATTAAGAGAAATAAAAAGAGCTATAGCTCTTTTTACTTTTTACAAAATGTATTCTGAAATTTTTAAACCAAGAAAACACGTGTTAAGCTCTTAGGCAGGGTATTTGCCAGATCATGCAGAATGGGAAAGGGTTAGCATCCACCAACCAAGCTGGGTGTGCCTGAATGCGGAAGTGGTTCCAACAGCAGATATGAGGTAATCAGTGGGCCACACTAACAATTCAGAGGGGAGCATCCAAGGCATCTCGCAAAAACAGATCCTTTTTCACCCAAAATAGTCAAAAACGGAACGAAACTCATGAACCAGCAAGGCGAGCCTGCAGCCGCCATGCCTCCTACAGCCCCGGCTGGGTGTGCAGCATATACAGGTTCTCAAGGCAGAGCAATGAAGGCCGGGGGCACCTGGGCCTTGAGGGTTCACCCAAGTCCTGGTTAGCATGTGAGCACAAGGACACTGCCCAAAGCCAGGGAAAGAACCACCCAAAAAAGATGACAGGAAAGCTCCAACATAGCTCCCCCCTAGCTGGTACAGAAAGCTCAGAAACCAAATGGCAGTAAGTAGAGTCTAGGGGGGTTGGGGAGAAAAATCAACCTAAGAACCCAGCTGTCTGAATCCCTCAACAGTTTAAAAAGTAAGCTCTAAAAAGGTCAGACTGTTTCCAGGTAACTGTCCCCATAGATGCTCAAGAGTCCTCATGAAATATGGAAGTCCCCAGCCCAACCGCATAGAATTCACCAGGTTTTCAAAGCAGCAAGAAAACATGCCCACGTTGGCTCATTAACTCATGAAGCTGGCCCAGCACCAGACTGTCACAGAGCTCAGGGATGTCACCTGGTGGTGGGGACTGCTCATGTACAGGAGGAGCACCCATCCCATGCCCTGGGCTGCACCAGCCTCAGTTCACCTGCGGTGGGCACAGGCACTGCACCTGGGCCCTGTTGCCTCACGGCCCCCTGCTCTGCTGCCCCATTCCCCTCCACCATCCAGCCATGCCCTTTCTCACCTCTCAGGCTCTAGCAGCTTCCAGAGCAGCCCTGACACAGGGGACACCTCATCTTCTCAGGTCTATCTTCCCACCTGGACATGAGGTGCCTCCCCACCTCACCCCACCCACCAATGCCTGCTGACTAGGTTTGCCCTGAAAAGTCATCTCTGGATCCTGAGCTCCTGATCTGAGTGCTGTGTCTTTAAAATGTGAGCTGACCAAGCATAGTGATGCACATCCTCCGTCCCAGCCACTTGAGAGGCTAAGGCAGGAGCATCCCGAGTTCAGCACCAGCCTGGGCAACTCAGCAAGACCCCATGTCAAAAAATAAATGAAATAAAATGTGCCAAGCTCCACAGACAGGAAGCCCTGAACAAATACTCACTTCTCCTCAGTGGTGAAGATGTCGAAGCACCCGTTGGCCAGCAGCTGGTTCAGCATCTTCAGCAATGACACGGACACCCTGAGAGGAAAGGATGAGTGAGCCTTGAGACCAACACCAAGCACCCAGGTAAATGGCAGGCACAGCTGCTGGAGGAGAATGGCTCCTTCCTACAAAGTCGACTTTCCAGATGGATTGGAAGTGAGACAGTCCCAGACCAAACCCTGGCACAAGACACTGGAAACGGACAAGCCGGTGTTAGAACTTATACAGAAACACCAAGGAAATGCCAGCATGACCGTGGACAGTAAGGACAGAGTGGGAGCTGACAGTGCTCATCTCAGTTGCTACATAGCAGCTGGTGGTCAGAACGGGCTCCTGCTGCAGAGATGCACAGACGGCTAGGCATTGAGTCCAACATCAGGTTTGACAAGATGCAAAAGCAACACGTGGACAGTCCAACAAATGGTGCTGAACAACCAGACATCCATGTTCAAAATTAAAATAAGCATGCATCCGCAGTGTCCAGACCCTTCCCCATAGAGGACAGGTGCATGTGGAGATGGCTTGCACCTCAGGCACCAGGAGTACAAACAGATACACTAAGCACCCAACAAGATGGCCACCTGAGAGGCTGACCACAGCAGTGCTGGGCAGGGCATGGAGCAGCTGGAACTCATGGTGCTACCATGGCAGCACAAAACACTCACTCACTAACATGTAACCTAGCCCTTTCTACTGCTCAGTGTTTACCTGAGAAGAGGGAACATGCATCCAGACAAGTCCCTGTGTTTCCACTGAGGCTGTCTATAAGGCCCAGATGCAGATGGCTCCGAAACCCAGACAGAGGAGTCCATTCCCAGCTACGATAGGCTCAACTGCAACAAGAGGCACAGGCCAGCAAACTGACTACGCTAACTGACATGAGCCCTGAGAACACACTGCCTGGCTCCATCTACATAAAATTCCACAAAATGCAAACTCAGTCTCTGCCATGGCAAATCAGTGGGTGCTGGGGTGGGTGTTAGGGAGGACTCCGGGGGGTGGGAGGAGACCTCCAGGTACACACCCCAGCACACCACACTACATGCTTCACGTGTGTTCATATGTGATTTCTTATGTTTAATACATCAACAGTGGTGCTTATGAACAGATAAGAAAAGATGACTAAAGAGAGGTCCTGGTTGCTGATGGCTAAACTAATCTTCCCTTGGCCAGGTGGCTGATAAGGCCCCATGAAAGGCACATCAGCCAGAGTTCCTGTCATTTGCATATTCCCAGAGAGTCACAGGAGAACAGTCTCAATTGAAGGACAAAGCCCATAGTCTCCACCTCCACATAAGAGCAGTTACCAAAATCCTGAAGCCAAAGATTTCTAGAAAGCAGGTACTAACTTCTCAGGAAGACATCCAACCTCCTAGACAGAGGCCACCTTCACTTCACTTAGGGTTCGCCTGTGGCATCTCCTTCCTGTGCACACAGTCATTCCCTGTCCAAGGGCTGGCAGGGAGAGGCCTCAGAAATGGTACCGGCCAGGACTCAGGGGCCCAAGCAGTAAACCCGCTCCACCCTGCTACTTGGAATTAATGTGTGTCCTGGAAAGAGAGGAGAGAGGTGCTACTCACCTGTCGTTCAAGAGGTTGTCCTCAAAGACCTGCAGAAGGGTCTCACTGAAGTTCCCCAGGGCCTGCGGATCACTCTGAATTCCCTTCACATACTCAAAGAGGCTCTGCGTGGAATGCCTGATCTGTGACACCAAAAAGTAGCTTTGTGAGGCAGCCAGTTTCCCACACACACACACTACCCTGAGGCTGACTATAGTGAAAAATGTCACTGCCAAATGGAGACAACTCTGACCTACTAAGTCCCAAGCATCCTGCAGGTGCTCAGCTGCTGTGGCAGCATGTGCATTGGGACAGAACCCCAGAAAGCAGCAGTGCAGCCTGAGCCCAACACAGTCACACTTTGCCCAGGACACAACTGTGGGGCCACTATGTAACACCAGGGCACCAGCATCACAAGTTCCACAGCTCAGCACAGAACCTGGATAAGACTACACCACTGTACGCAGGGATCAAAGACCCTGGAGACTAGACTATGGGGACAGTGAGGGGGCCAAGCACAGGACTGTGCCTCTAAGCAGAGAGGACAGAGAACCAAGAGCACAAGACGCCCACTTGCTAAGCCCAGACTAACACCACAGAGAAGGTAGGAGACAAGGAGGCACAGGGGTCACAAGCAGGCCCTCATGCCATCGGGGGGCTGGACTGGGCATGGAGACACGTTACCCCATCCTGAGGATACATGAGCTAAACTGAAAGGGTGAAACACCAGACAAGCAATTCTTCAAAGAACAGCTGAAAATCAGTGCAAGGGAGACAGAAGAGAGGTGCTGTCCATGTCTGAGGTGATTCACCCAGCATGGCAGGGCCTCTCTGACTCTGACATAGGTGAGTCTGGGAAGGTTGAGGGACCTGAGCCTGATCATCTGAAATGTGACCACAGTGTGTGACAGGTCTTCACCTTTTGAGAGATACGGTGGGGCGGGGGGAGGAACTTATGCAGTGAAGCATACAATTTCTGGAATTAGTTCAAAGTCTTCTCTGGTAAGAAACTAGCAAGGTGCATCAGTGCTGGTGTCATGCAGCAGGAATGGAGTGAAACCAGCCAGGCATTGGTACATGGAAGCTGTTACACAATTATCTGAACTTTTGTGTTTGTTTCTAATTGCCAAGAGAAAAGCTTAAGAAAATATAATGCCCCTCATACAGTAGGAGCTAAAAACGTAATAGAAAACGCAAGTATTCATTTACAGTAAGAACAGAATTTAAATGTTTTATGAAACAGTCCAAACTCATCAGATGTCCTGATCCTCAGACATGTCTGGCATCAAGGCTGTAGAAAGACCAGACACCCTGTTGGGGCCAAGGGCAGCGGTACCAATATCAAAAGAGCCCCACCCCCTTCCACTGAAAAATGTGGAGTCACCTTCACCAGGCTCAGCCACGTGACAGCAGCTCTCCAGAGTCCTGCCCTTGGTCCCCCAGGACATGGGCAAGGAGCTGAACTGCTGACTCCAACCAAATGAGATGGAGGGTGGTGAGAGGGAAAGAAGAGCGGAAATGACAGAGGAGGGAGAAGCCGACAGAAGGGAAGACAGGCTCTGGCCCCAAGGCCCAGCCCTCCCACATGAGATCCAGCAGGTCTGGCCCCAGGAGGAAGGCGCTGTCACACCCCTGTCCCACTTCTCACCGTTGAGGCGGTCAAGCCACCTACAGATACAGCCAGCCCTAGTAGGACATAGTAGCGGTAAGTAGGCAGCCCCAGGAGCTGGGTGATGAGAGGGAAGGCCTGGGAAGCCGCCTTCCAGTCCACAGAGGCCATGTCGGACCTGCAAGAGAGTGAGTTCATCAAGGCCCCACTCAGAGGAGCCACAGGGGCCCACACCCCAACAGTACCTGGGAAACAGCTTTTCCAGCTCTCCCCGGTGGGGCACATGGGGAATGGGAGGGCTGTCGAAGTGCAGGAGGGTCAGGAACACATGGGCGGCATGGGCGCGGATCCGGTCTATCTTCTCGCTTGCTTGCTGAGCCACACAGCACATGATGCGCTCACACCTGCGAGCCAAGGAGGGTGTCAGTCCCACCCCACACATGGCTACTGTGGCCACCTCAGAGCAGACCACACTCTGCCATCACTACATCCTGGAGCCACATGGCAGATGCACCGAATGTTGCTGAGGTCTTGCAAGGGAAGCGATGAGAACCAACAGCATGGCAGGAGTGGATGGTAGACAGAGAAGGATAGGGTGAGGAGAGGCCAGGCTGAGATGGGAAGAGAGGGGAGATAAGGCAGGAGAAAGGGATGGATGGGAACAGCAGGGGGAAGGGAGAGGCACAGGGACAAGAGGTCAAGAACTGCCACAAGCTAGGAACCTGATGGCAGACTCTGAAGCCTCTGCAAGGTGGCAGAGGAGGCCCAGACTCACAGCAAGGACCCCAGGTCCAAGGACTGACCAAGTGATGGTGGCCCATCCTGTCAGGTGCCTCAAATGTGGGGTCTCTGAGCCCAGAGGCTTCCCTGTTCTGAAGCTGGCTGTCTAACAGGCCCAGGCCCAAAGGAGGCCCAGGCAGGTGAGAGGGAGGCTCAGAGCCTTGTCCGGGGGTAGAGGGAGGGCTCTGGACAGCTGCAGGCTGTGTGGGTCAGGACTTGAGTGTGGTGTCAGGAGAAGGCACAGGCCCCTGGGATTGTCCCAGCTGGCCTCCCTCAGCACTCACACAGGGGCTGCAATCAACGTAGGCTGCGTCTGTGCCAACAAAAGTGTCAGGTCCATCAGGCTGGTCATGGCGGCCTCACGGACACTGTAGGACAAGGAGACATGGGAAGGTCAGTGTCGGACAGGGATCCCAGGACTCACGCCAACCACACTCTTTAGGTCCTGCAAGCACAGACCCTAAAAGCAGGTCTTGTGGTGCTCTTCCCTGGGGAGTGAGGACCACCAGAGGTCCCTATGCACTGTGGCAGGAGACCTGCCGGCCACACTCAGGCTCTGATCTGCAGGCAAACACAGTGAGTTTCAGAGATTACAGAAATCCCACTTCAGTGGGTAACGTCAGCGAAACCCAATATAAGGCAGCTGGCAGCTCTTCACCGAGGGATGAGTACTGTCTCCCACACTATGTCAAGCAAGAGGTTTCATGTTTAACACCTGGAGACAGACTGGACAAGTCCCAACAAAGCCTGTGACGTGTGCGTACACAGGCTTCCCATGGCCTGTCCCTTGCAAACCACAGCCCTGCAGCATCAAACTGCAGAAGGCTTGGGCTGCCTGGTTCTCACTGATCAGATTCCTGGAGAGTCAAAAACTCAGCTTCCTTCCCAAGCATCAGAACCTTCTCTCCCATTGCATGGAGCCACTAGTTCATAGTAAAGAAAATCAAGCACTTGCTGGACTAACAAAAAACGTTTTATGAACTTGGGACACAAGTGCACTAACTAGAGTCAGGAAAAGTAAGATCTAAAGCCTGAGGGCCATGGGGGATTCCTGAATCACCCATAACCTCCATGGGACACACACTGGGACCTGGGTATACATCTGCAGAGCGCATGTGGGAACCAAGGAGCAGGATATGCATATTTTCCTCACTCTCAGCCACAGCTGAGAACAGGGCACAGGACAACAAACAGCACAGCAGAACTCAGCTGAGGATGCCTGGGGTGTCATCAGGTAGAGTATCTGCCTAAGCAAATGCAAGGCTCTGAGCTCAAAACTTCAAAAAAAAAAAAAATGGAGGTCAGAGGACCTGTATGTGGAGCCCTAAGCCCCAGAAGCCCCTCCTAGGAATGTATGGGCAAAGGCCACACACCCTAGACTCCACTGTGCCCATGCATCTCAAGCTGTGCCCTGGGAGCGAGGGCACTGGGATGAGCCTAGTCCACACCCAGCCTGACAGCCACAGAGCCCACTGACTTAAATACAGCTCTCAGAATTAAGCTAAAAATTATGAGGAATGCATAACAAGTAAGAAATACGGAAATAGCAACGGGGAGATGGAAGACCTGTGGATGACACAGACATCAGTTTATTCAGAGCCCTTAAAATAACCATATCTGAAGCATATATTGAAGAAAAAAGAAAAGGGTGAAGAATTTCAGTTGTAAGAGAATTGGAAAGAAAGGTTCAGACACCACTGAATTCAAAAGTAAAAACCTGACACTGAGCCTTCATTGCAGGGGACACGGGTACTGGTCACCCTCTGCAGACATCGTGAAGACAACACCATGGTGGGCGAAGCCCGGGGACCAGGCCAGCAGTACTAGCACCAGTCCTTCCTGCTTTGTCCTGAGGGCAGCCACAGCAGCCAGTCCATTGAAACACACAACCAGGGAACCAAGAGTGTAGGAACCTCAGAGAAGGAAGCAAAGGCCTGCACAGGAGCCTGCCCCATCTCTGTCATGGGCACCAGCAATGAGTACAGGTGGGCAGGGCTCACCCTCTGTGCCAGTCCAGGCTGCGGAGCCAGTGACAAGATCTGCAAGAGTTACACCAGGACGTGATGCCCTGGGCACTGTATTTAAGTCACATCATGACCAGAAAGACAGCTGAGCCCAACGTGTCCCCACCAAGGAAAGGTGACTGTCATCAGGGACAAGAAGTCTTTGAGTTCAGACAGCAGCCAGGAGACACGAAAGGAGAGGCCACACAACAGCCCAGTGGGATCCCTGCTGCTGGGGGAACCACAGCCATGCTGCAAGAAGTGGAGCAAGGCAGGAAATGGGGACACGGCCCTTGGAAGCCTCTGTTGTCCCAAGTCTGGAATGACCCAAAGTCAGATGAGACCAAGGTCAGCCACAGTGAAGCCAGAACATAGATGAGCAGAATTTACACAACCAAACAAGAAAATCAAAAACACTGAACAAAATTAACAGAGCTTCAGGACCTGGATTTCCAGAATGAGAGCAGGGTGAGATGACAGGGCAGAAAAGTCATGTAAAGAAATGCAGCCCAAGCTGAGCATGGTAGCTCAAGCCTATAATCTCAGCTACCTGGGAGGACTGCGTTCAAGGGCAGTCCAGGCAAAAAGCTCAGGAGACTCCATCTCAAACAAAAGGCTAGGAATAATGGTGCATGCCTGCCATCCCAGCTATGTGGGGAAGCACAACAAATAGGATCATGGTCTAGGCCAGCAGGAGCATAAAGTGAAGCCCTGTCTCAAAAATAACGAATATCAGCAAGCACACAGCCCAAATTCAACCCCCAGTACCACCAAAAAAAAAAAACAAAAAACAAAGGAAATACAGCCCCCCACAACCCAACATGGGTGACATGCTCACTCCTCTATTCAGCTTCCATATCCATAAAGCCATCTTCTTCCCTAGTATCCTATAAAAGCACTCAACACCCCTCTACACTGCTTGACCGCAGTCAGCCACAGCTCAGTCTCCTGAGAGAGAGCATGAAGACAGGGTGGACAGTGGCAGCTGTCCTCTCATTTGCAGCACACAGCAGATACTTTTGCAACCTGGTAAGGAGATGCCTCCCCTAGAGCAGCAGGAAAGGGCATTGGGCAGACTTGCATGGCTATGAATACCTGGGCCTGGCAGAACCGATGCACATGGGCTCATAATTACCCAGTCAGGACTTCAGAGCAAACGCCTGTCATTTCAGGACCTGATTCCCAACCCTCCATCCAGAGCAGAGTTTCTCCAAAGCACCAACTTCTTCCTGAGACGCAGCACCACAGCCATTCTCAGTGCCCTGTGGTCCTCCTGCCCCTACACAGTCTCACAAGAAGCCTCATCAGAGATGAACTTAGTTGTGACAAATGGGAGAGGCAACTCACAATAACACTGCATTTCATGAAGCTAACTTCTTTGTCAGTAAAGAGGAGAAGGTGAATGAGAGGAACCAGAAGCAGGAAAGCAGTCCGCAGAGGGCACTGCAGAGCTGAGCACAATGGGAATCACACTGTGGCTGTGGGCAGGAAGTCTGTCCCCATTGTCATCATCCTTGTCGTTGTCGTGTGTCATGGGAGGAATGGCACAAAGTGCAACTCACACCTCAGGGCCCCTCACTAGGCAGCAGAGACCACGGAATGCAGACGCTACCCTTACCAGGACCCCACGTCCCCTCTGCTGTCTGTGGTGTAGTCATCCATGCCATCCAGCAGCGCAGCATAAACCTCAGAAATATTCTCTCTACACATGGCTTCATCTGGGGTCCCATCTTCTTTCACACCGACAGTCTGACAAATCCTAAAATTAAAATGTGCAAAAACTGAGGCCAATAGGAAAAGGGGAACAGGTACTAGAGAAAAGGTTAGATCAAAAAGAATTAACCTAGAAGGTAACACCCACGCACAGGAAATCAAT